TGTTAGACCCTCCTCCACAAGTGGCGTAGTCTGATCTATCTTTAGTGCTGCCCACAGGAGAGACGTTACCTAACTCTACACACTCCTCACACTTCACCAGCAACGAGACTCCACAACATAAAACTCTGGTTCATCTGCAAACATCGATAATGTTCGTTTCTTAATCGACTGAAACGTTAATCCTTAATAAAGAAGGAGGAAAACACAGCGAGTGATAGTTTGGGGTCTCAGTGAGGGGAGTGAATATGGTTTAAATGGTTCAAATGCAGAGAAACACACACACACACAGACACACATACAGACACACACACAGACACACAAAGAGGCAGCTGGGCTGTGATCCAGCAGGGAGCGGGAGGAGTGTTCTGATTGGTGGAGAGAGCTGCTCGTAACGGTGGCCGTCACCTGTTTCTTCAGACAGCTGCTGCGTTCAGACTTTACTCCAGGACTGCTCCGAGTGTTTACAATAAGATAAGATGAAATAAAGAAGAAGATAAGACAAGTTAAGAGAGAATCAAATGAAGAATTTTCTATAGAATATGATAAAATAATTTGTATCAGAGAAATAGGAGAAATAAAATATTGATTGAACTTTGAAGTTCAGGGTTATTTGCTGGAATCCGTATATGAGCGAAACCAAATCTACAGGATGAAAGTGACTGAAGTAATAAAAGTGAATGAGAATATGTTCTAAATGAAAAGATGATCTACAGCAGCAGCTCTAAATACCCTCACTGTCATCCGTTGGAAGCTATTTGAGGACTTTGACAGCATTGTCTCCGTCCTCCTCCTGCCACATGACACTGTGTGAGCTGAATCATGGTGGCTCATCTCCAGGCCGAGCAGCCAGTTGCTTCCTTCAGTCTGTGGCAGCAGCTGCTCCGGTCGAGGCCTGCGCTGTGATTCGGCCCAGTCGGATTCCTCCGGAGCTGCAGTGGGCAGGGGGCTATATTTAGAGCGGGACAGGATTAAATTGCAGGGTCTTCACACCGGGAACCTTTTCTCTGCTCTGCCTTTTCCAGCCAGGACCAACTGCCAGCAGGACCTGCGGCCGTCACCTCCTTCCTCTCTCCACAGACCCCTCGTTCGCCTGCCGTGTCCCCTCCTGACGCACCATGGACCCCAACGCCATCAAGGAGGAGCTGCGCCTGTTTCAGAGCACGCTGCTCCAGGACGGGCTGAAGGAGCTGCTGAATGAGAACAAGTTTGTGGACTGCACCCTGAAGGTAGGCGACCGCAGCTTCCCCTGCCACCGGCTGATCATGGCCGCCTGTAGCCCCTACTTCAGGGAGATCTTCTTCACAGAGGACGGCAAGGAAGTGGAGAACACCAAGGAGGTGGTCCTGGACGACGTCAACCCCTCCATCCTGGACATGATCGTCCAGTACCTCTACTCGGCCGAGATCGATCTCACCGACGACAACGTTCAGGATATAATCGCTGTGGCGAACAGATTCCAGATCCCTTCTGTCTTCACCGTGTGCGTCAACTACCTTCAGAAGAAGATGTCCCTGATCAACTGCATGGCCATTTTCAGGATGGGCCTGGTGCTCAACTGTCCCAGGCTCGCCGTGGCCGCTCGCAATTACATCGCTGACCGCTTCGAGGCCCTCTACAAAGACGAGGAGTTCCTCAGGCTCGCCGCCCACGAACTCTTCGCCATCATCGGTGGCGACTCGCTGAACGTGGAGAAGGAGGAGCTGGTGTTCGAGGCCGTCATGGCTTGGGTCCGCCACGACAAAGACAAGCGCGTCAAGGTCCTGAAGGACGCTTTCGACTGCATCCGCTTCCGTCTGCTCCCAGAGAAGTACTTCAAAGACAGAGTGGAGACGGATGACATCATCAAGGCCGACCCGGAGCTGCAGAAGACGATCCAGGTCGTCAGGGACGCCTTCAAGGGGAAGCTCCCGGAGAAACCCAAGAAGAAGGAAGGGGAGGAGGGAGCCGACAAGGAGGGAGGTGAGGAGGAGGACAGCCCGTTCCCCGGGTTCCTGAATGACAACCGCAGACACGGCATGTACGCCCGTGACTTCATCGTCATGATCAACGACACGGCGGCGGTGGCGTATGACGTCACCGAGAACGAGTGCTTCCTGGCGGCCATGTCGGAGCAGGTGCCTCGTAACCACGTGAGCCTGGCGTCGCAGAGGAACCAGCTCTACATCATCGGTGGACTGTTTGTGGACGAGGAGAACAAGGACGTGCCTCTGCAGTGTTACTTCTACTTGGTAAGCAGCTCCCTCATCGAAACACCGAAGAGAGAAGGTCGACATCACTCTATTATCTTAAATTCACCATCACACCTTAAATACGAAGCTGTCGTCGTCTTTAAAACATGGGGATTATAATTCAGAAGAGTGGTTTGTCTCGGCGCAGACACACACGTCTCCTCAGCAACAGAGCGAACGAGCAAGAGAGAGAGAGGTTTTTCGTTCGTCTGCTTATTTTTCGGGTTTTCCTTTTCATCGAGGTGTCGCTCAGGGGCGCCCCCTGCTGAGCTGTTACTGGTAACGATAAAAGAAGCAGGGTGAACGCAGAAGTGTGTGAATTATTTGTTCACCGCAAAACTCACAGCAGCGTCTTTGTTATTTCATTTTCATGTTTTAATAATAATAATAATAATAACATAGCTTCCCAACTTTGTCCCTTTTTGATCTTATATGATTTTTATTTATTTCAGTTCTAACTGTCTGTGTGTTTCCCTCAGAGATTCAAACAGTGCAGGACGGATTCTTTTTGGTTTTACGGAATAATCAATATGTTGATAGCATGTAGGACGATGGTTCATTTCCTCCTTTACGAGGAGCTAATGGCCACTAAGAGGGTGTTTTATCATGTTTATTATTGTCTCCCTCTCTCCACAGTTGGATCCGCTCACTTCTGACTGGGTCGCTCTGCCGCCCATGCCGTCCCCCAGGTGCCTCTTCAACATCGGGGAGAGCGAGAACCTGCTGTTCGCCGTGGCCGGAAAAGACCTGCAGACCAACGAGTCTCTGGATTCCGTCATGTGCTACGATGTGGAGTCAGTGTTTTCTCTCCTTCCCTTCCATGTTTCTATCTTTGCATCTGTGTCAGGAAATTAACAAGGCGGCTTCCTTAGAAAAGTAAAAAAAAAACTGTATGTGTTGGGTTTTTATTCATGATGTGATCTCAACTCTATAATTGTTCGTTCAGTCATTATCGTGTTTGACAGACACATTCAGGTTGATTGACTCAGGACCACATGTATGAAACGTGTCCCAGAAGACACTTCAGGTCCTTCTGGTCTTCTTGTGGCCTGTGAGTCTAGCGTGGCCCAAACAAACCTGCGGTGCTCTGGTTAAAGTGTGATGTTCCTTTCTTCAGGAAGATGAGGTGGAGTGAGACCAAAAAACTTCCTCTGAAGATCCACGGCCACGCTGTCGTCTCCCACAGAGGAATGGTCTACTGCATCGGAGGAAAGACGGACGACAAGTGAGTGTGTGTGTGTGTGTGTGTGTGTGTCCTGACACACCAGGCAGCAGCTGTTGGTCGTCTATCATCCCATCGGACTGCACACTTACTCTGCTGCGTCCATGATCTGATATGTTACCACCAGGGACGTTTAAAGATGGACGACATGACAACATGGCTGTAGTGGAGGTCATAAAACATATATGATGTATTAAAGATGTGTTAATCCTCCCTTGTTCTCCGCAGCAAAGCGCTCAATAAGATGTTTGCGTACAACCACAAACAGTCAGAGTGGAGGGAGCTGGCGGCCATGAAGACGCCCAGAGCCATGTTCGGAGCCGTCGTCCATAACGGCAGGATCCTGGTGGCCGGGGGCGTCAACGAGGAAGGACTCAGTGCGTCGTGTGAAGCGTACGACTTCACAACCAACAAGTAGGATTCTGTTCTCTACTTTCTCTTCTCTTCCTAGTCTGGTTAGGAATTTGTGTTTGTTGCAACACATTGAACTAACTCGAAGTTATTCTTTCATTCTGTCGGTCATTAGGAAACTAAAAGTGAAATGGAATGAAAAACAACATGTAATGAATTGTACAGTGTTTATCCTCTTAACTGCAGTGAATCACTCTGTCTTAATTATTTATTCCATATTCGAGCCTCCATATTTCATGTCACGACCTCGAAATATAAAAGGCTGAATTTCAACCAATACACCGAAGTTCAAAAGACACAGCGAGGCTCCATCTTACACTTGACCTTCTCTGAATGCCACCTCTCCTCAGGTGGGAGCCCTTCACAGAGTTTCCCCAGGAACGGAGCTCCGTCAACCTGGTGAGCAACAGTGGCGCTCTGTTCGCTGTGGGCGGCTTCGCCATGGTTCAGATGGAGAACAAGGAGGTGGCTCCCACAGAGGTCACTGACGTCTGGCAGTAAGTCTGAACCTCCGGATCTATTCTCCTGTCGGTTGTTGTGGTGAGATCTAACGCTGCTGTGTCTGTCCTCAGGTACGAGGACGATAAGAAGCAGTGGAGCGGGATGCTGAGGGAGATGCGTTACGCTGCCGGCTCCTCCTGCGTGTCCATGCGCCTCAACGCTGCCAGGATGGCCAAGCTGTAAACAGAGTCGCTCCAGAAACCTCCTCCTCCTCCTCTCTCTCTCTTTCCATCCTGCCTTTCTCTGTCAAGTTGACCTTTGACAAGGAACTCAGACATTTCTTATCTGCACTGTAAACACTCGGCTCTGCACCGTCTCCACACTATCAGAAGAGAAGCCACAGTTTAGATCCCTGAAGCTCTGTGTTCGTCCTTTCTCGCTCTTCTTTTGTAAAATAAACTCTTCTTTGATTGTTTTGATCTCGTCTTTGTCCTTTTGGATAAACAGGGAAGTGGGTTAATAAAAGTACATTTGGTATTTAAACCCAGATAAATTATATTCAAACACATCTCGCAATCATTCATGTGTGTGTCAACAGCAGGTCCCAGATAAACTCGACAGGAAAACGTGAGGTGAGTGTCTGTAAGTCGTTATGATGTTCAGTGTTTTCATTAGTGCTTAAATTCCATCACACATGAGCAGCGGGGAACCTAGATCTGCAACGATAGATCACGAGTCATGTGTACTTTAAGAGACGTTAATGTGACGAGGAGGAAGAGGAGGAAAGAGAAGCTCCATGTGTTGTTGCTGAGCCTCATGAGACCAACTGTGATTTGTGAATGTGGGCCACACAAATAAAGATTCATTCAGTTCTCTCTCGTAACTCGGTGGACGTGAAGAGATGAAACACGGGGATCCCTGGAATATGTTCGTGGGATCCTTGGCTGACGCAGTCTTTAACCTGAAACCAGGGTCTGTCTGTGTCAAATTCAGCTCTGAGGTAATCGCCTGTTGAATCTGTCACTGGACTTACCTCTTGTTTTCTCTGCAGTTCCACCTGAAACCAGTTCTGTGGATGATCTTGAAAAAAACAATGCGACCCTTGCACTTTATCAGCTCAGGCATGACACCAGGAAGTGGGAGCTGATGCTGAGAAACAACTGGAGTTTCCCCCCCTGGGTGTGGAAACTGGACGAGTGGGAGGAGGAGTGACACGGGAATGGATGTGGACAAGAGACAATGAGACGCAGAAGGTTCGGACTGAGGACGCTGTGACTATCAGTGAGTAGAAAATGATTTTGTGATATTTTTACAGATGAATTGTTTTAAGGAGAAGAAGCTCCCACCGTGTGTTAATGTCACCTCACATCCATAACGAGAGCAGCTGACAGCTGAGGAAGCTGTAGGTGCTGTCATATCAAGGGGAGGAAGATTCTGTTTGTTTCTCTCCCACTGAGTTCGCTTGATTGTTTGTTTCTTTGCTCGTCTGCTCGCCTCCGGGTTTTTTCTTCCTTCCTGCAGCAGTAATCACCACCGGCAGTCCTGAGGGGAGGTGAGGGGAAGAAGGAAGGAGGATTCGCTTAAAGCCGTCTTGTTATCACATGTTTTCATCCACTCGAAACTTCCATCACGAAAAAGAACAAATGCAGCATTTGTTCATCATACTTGAAAATGCAAAGCTGCCAATCAATGTTCTTATTTTTCTCACGACTTCTTCACACTCGACATATTCTCACACACATGAAGTAGCTCAAAACAAACTCGGGCCACCTTTAGTCGTGGTCCAGATCTGAGGATCCGCCCAATTGCCAACATTCCAAGTGGCATGTGTGCTGGAAGAGGACCAACACAATCTGACTCTATGTGTTTAATGTTTAATGATTTAGTTTCAGGGGAAAAAGCTCGAAAAAGATTAGTTGTTCTACACAGATTGAAAAATACAGATAGAATTCAATGTAATTCAACTTTCAAGACCATTAAGCAATTGAATAAAATCTATAATTTCCTGTTCTGTTAATTTACACATTATATTTTATTGTTAATATTTTGAGTCAAAGTCATTTATTGTGTTTTTAGGGCGTTGACGCTCGTTTGAGTTTCAGATCTGTTCGACAGATCAACAGAAAATGAATCATTACATTTCTAAACCATTTTAGTAAAAACATCCTGATTGTAAAATTGTTTTTAAAACAGGCTCCGCCATGGAGAGCATCCTCTACCATGGAGACGACCACAACTGCACGTGTGTGGACCGACTGATGAAACGTTATTTCCTGCCCATCTCCTACTCTCTCATCTTCATCGTGGGCCTGGTGGGAAACGTGACCTCCATCGGCGTCTACCTGACGAAGCTGCGACCCTGGAAGAGCAGCAGCATCATCATGGTCAACCTCGCGCTGACCGACCTCCTCTACGTCCTCAGCATGCCCTTCCTGGTCTACTACTACAGCAACGGGGACTCGTGGACGCTCGGCGACTTCATGTGTCGCTTTGTGCGTTTCGGGTTTCACTTCAACTTGTACGGAAGCATCCTCTTCCTCACGTGTCACGCAGTCTTCCGCTACTTGGTGGTGACGAGGCCTTTGATGGCCGCACGGGTGCAGGAGACGTTTTGGGGGATCGTTGCGTGTTTGTCTGTCTGGATCGTCACCACCGTTGAGATAACTCCCATGTTGTCGATAATAATGTTACAAGAACACGACAACAAGACGTACTGTTTGGACTTTGCGAGCTTCATCAGTGCTAGCACTGATGACAAGCGCTGGTATAGCTGGCTGCTCACTACACTCGGGTTTCTACTCCCCCTAGTGGTGGTGTTCATCTGTTACATCGGTATCGTGCGAAAGCTCGCAGAAGGGCCCGGCATGAGCACTTCCTGTCGGATGCGAGCGCGTCGCGTGACCGTACTGATCCTGGTGGTGTTCGTTATGTGTTTTCTGCCGTATCACATCTTGCGCGAGTTGCGAATAGAAACCCGAGGTATGCAAGAGACACCGTGCATGGTGGAGCGGGTCGTCCACGCCGCCTACATCATCTCCAGGCCTCTGGCTGGACTCAACACGTGTTTCAACCTGGCTCTGTACACTCTCTCAGGTGACAAGTTCAAGGGAGCTTTCCTCAGCGTGTTTCACTGGAAGCGTTGGCTGACCAAGGCCTTCGTCAGCAAAGCAAGCGCTGACAGAGTTGCTGAGTGAGAAACTGTCCAACTCCTGCATTCACTGCTTTCAGACATGCACCGCACCCCGGAGATCTTCAGGAGTTTCGGATTTCCTGCGGACTTTATACCAGGAGCCAGATGGAGAAAGTCCGCAGGAAGTCCGATGTGAGAACACAGCAGGAGATCCTCCGCAGGCGTTGATGAAGCAACAGATTCAAATATGACAAAAAGAAAACGATGAAAAAGTAGCGTCGTACACGTAGAAGACAAAAAAACATGATTTTCCGCAGCAGAATTAATACGTTACATCTTAGGCTCTGGAGATTTCTGTGTTAGTGTGAACTTGTTCGAGCGGAGAATCTCCGGCTGCGTTGTTCATGTGTGAAAGACAAACTCTGAATCTGCTGAGGTCATGTCTGAATACAGCTTCAGTGGACAGGATGGGATCACAGATTGTAAATAAACTGATATTAGTTTCAGGCGGAACGTGTGTGTGTGTGTGTGTGTGTGT